GTTGTCTGCCAGTGATACTAAAAAAGCACCACACTCAGTGCAGAAAAATATATTTTAGAACAGGATGACAGAGGTCAAGCTAAGAAGGGTGTTAAAAAAGAGCTGGCAGCAGTTATTCACAGGTTTTTTTACCATCAGAGAACTACAGGGCATCCCACGGAATGCAAAGCAGCAATGCTGACTCGCAGCAATTGTGCTATTTATTACAGCAGGATGTTGAGACATCCAGAGGTGTAAGTGGATTAGATACACATGGGCCCACCTTTGTTGTTAAATCTGGTGGTTGGGTCGGTGTGTGCAGCCTCTGGCTTGGGAAGTCCTTACCTTGAGAAATTAGGGGGGAGATACAAGATGAAAGGATCATTCTGCATTTTCACTGTGTCCTATTCCATTCTTCCAGCCATCAGTTATTGACTGTTTCCAGTGATGAGGAGACAGGCTACGCAGACTTCTGGCAGAAGTATGGTAGCAGTCTGTAGTGCCATCAGCCCAGTTTGGGATGTGCCTCCCCTGACAGGCACAGAGCTCCTCTGCTTCAGGACAGCTCGCAGTCTGCTGTGCTCTTCTCAAAAACGGGCTGACTACCTTTCAGAACAGATTATGTGCCATTTAAATTTTAAAATGCACATATGCCTCGCTCTTCTCGTTTTCCTTTGTGGGACAACTTTGAATTTTAATACAAGTGTCCAAACGTACACTGATAAAACATGCAGCTCATGTCAGCAGTAAAATGCATAGTAATTTATTAACTTCTCGAGTGTGAATACAAATTGATTTGATGATGTGCCACATAATGGAAAATTATTCTCAGTCACAACTTGCATTCTAGTTGCTGCGTTATTTTTTCCTTTTTTAATTAAACATTACAAAGAGTTTGAAAACTGCACAACACTTGTTGGTGGCCAACAGGAAACTGTAATGCCATGAAAAGTAACCAGTCCTTTTAACATGTTTTTTGAAGAATGCTCTCGATTCAGAAATTAAGCTCCTCAAAAGCAGGTCGCCATATATTGCTTCACTGGGTGTTTTGAAATAAGCATTCTTGGACAAAGAAACATCGTTTTTACTCAGGACAACCTCTCAGCTCCATACCTTTAGTTACAAGTCATTAATGCTTTTGTAATATAAGTCAGTGTATCTGTGGAACCATTACAATGTGCTAAAGTCACTGTATATCTCTCCTTCTAATGTCATTGATGGCTGGGGCATTGTAAAGACACACCTGAAATCTTCACACAGCAAAAGCATCCCACACCTTTAGAGGAACAAGGAGATTGTTTAGAAAACATTTTGGAGAAGATGTAAATATTGATGCACTTCGTGCCAAATTCACTGATAATTATTAACCATGTAATTTCAGTATTTATTCCTTGAGTTCCCTTAGTTCCCTAGGTGGGCAGAGTACACTCAGAGCATTAATGTTTCCAGAACATCCTGGTTACCTCACAGGAAGCTCTAAATGTGTGGTGCTAGTTAATGTATTTTCCATGTATTCAGTAATTAGAGCTCTCACCTTAAATTCTCTAATGTCACACACAGAAAAAGAATATCAAATTGTATGACTGGTCTCTCGAACAGCTCTTCCAACACAAACATTTATTAAGTTTGGGATTCTTTCCAAAGAGAACATGGTATTAAGTTTACTGCAGTGACGTGTAGATCTAGACACATGTGAAGACCTGATCATTCCCTGATTTCTGTCCAGCTTGTTATTGCAGCTAAACTGCAATACCACCTTTGATCTGTGGCATGACCTCTCCCAAACGCTTTGATCAGCACTAAGAAGCAGGCAGTCAAAACAGCAGCAGCCAGAAATGGAACATCATGGTTAGAAACACCTTCAGTCAAGGGAATTCTGGCAGTTGCTCTTCCTGCTCAAGCCTTGCTCGAGAAACCAAAGGTATCTGTGTCCTAACTGGATGATCATGTGCCAAACTGCCTCTGAACTGCAATTCCTGCTGAAGTTCTTCTTACACCCCAACTCGCTGGATCCCTAGCCAGGCCATAATGCCCTTCTGCATGTCTGTTAATGAAGCATTTCCAGTGAATGCTGGAGACTGAAGGAATTACATGCTGCGTAATTGATCTAAAGAGCAGATTAGGGCTGGTGCTATTTCATTAAATCTTATTAGCCCTGGCTTAAGTACTTAAAATTGCAGCTGTCCTGTGTCAGACAGATTATACCCCCTTGTCATATGGTAAGTGAGATTTTCATCTACCAGACCGCAGCTTTTAAAAAGGAGCAGGCTGGTGAAATATAAGAATGTCAACAAGGGTCCTCCCCAAACACCTTCTTTAGTTCTTTTTCTCTTAGTTACTTCCATTGGAGGTTATTGTTCCTCAGGAACCAGTGAGCCAGCAAGACCAGAGGAAAATTTTGGCTGAGGAAAAAATAGCTTTAATCAAGCCAAAAAGAAATTCACCTTGGAAAATAGTTTATGGCTCTCAAAGGAGAAAGATTTGTATTGTTTTACCACAGGACTCCAACTAAATTTTAGGGATCTTGACATGCTCAGAAAAGTCTATTTTTACTGCTTTGCCTCTGACAATAATGGGCTAGGCCTGATGTTCTTTCTCACATTCTATTCTTCTGTCCTCCGACCTAGTATTTAGCTCCATAATCTCCCAAATCAAACAAAATAGCAAATGAAGACTTTGATCTGAATTTTCTCTACAAGGCATATTGCACTACATTAAATACTTTTCAATATCTAGAACTGCTGCACTGTGGGAAAAAGGACTGAAAATCTGCACAATATTAAGCAGGATTTCAGATAATACTAAGGGGTGAAATACTGACAAAAGAACCCTAGACTTTGGTTAAAACAGATAATACTCAAGGCTTTTTTTTTATCATTATTCCTTTGATGAGAGAATATTTAAGGCCCTCTCACATGCAGAGTCACCATGTTAATACCAGAGCCAAATCAGTGGTTCATACAGATAAAGACTAAAGTAAAAATAATCCAACAGATGTGCTTTGCAAATATAAGAAATTATTTCAGCAAATCTTAAGAAAAGCACAGTCACAGAAAATACCGACTCCACCTTTAAGAGTTCTTTGAATTCTTTTCTATTAGTCTGTAAATCTCAGAGCCACTTATCTAGCACAAAAATCTGCTTTCCTTCTTTTACCCCAAGTTTGGTTCTTGCAACCCTCCTGCAGCCTTTGGCCTCAGCCCTCAAACCTGCCAGGACTGACCCCCCCTTCAGGCACTGTGACCACAGACAAATGACATCCTGTACCTGCTCCTCTCTCTGCTGCAAAGCTCCCAAACAGCTCGTGCAAGACTCCTTTTGGGATGGGAAATTTAAAACCTGGTATTCCTCTGCATACTCAGCCTTCTTTTTTCATTTACCCGGGATGTGAAGGGCTTGCTGTCCCACTGCTAACCAAGCATCAAGTGTAGATTGGGAATTCAAGGTAAGGAAAAAAAAAAAAAAGGGAGGGAAATAAAGCACATGGCATATTTGCTTCTGTTCAGTACTGTAACTTTATACTCGAAGAGTTAGGCATTTACTAGTCACATTGATACATAATTACTTTCAACTTCCAGCCCTGTTCATGTAAAACAGTTGGCACTTGCTCACTGGAAAGGCTGAAAATGGTGTGAATGACCCGTTACTCCCCAGAAAACTCACCTGCTAAAGTCATCTTTCCCTTCTTTTGCCTTCTCACCTCCCTCAAGGAGTAAAGCTCCACCAGAGCAAACAAAAGGAGAAAACAGCTTTCATGTAATTTAAAATGGGGAAATCTGTGTCTGGACGGAAGAGGAGAAGTCACTTGCAAACACACTCCTGTACAAAGCTTTCAACAGCTGTTCCATGGATGGTAACTGCAATTTTAAATGGTCTAACAGTCAACATAAGGAGGTTAAATGCAGGGCAGCTGTTCCCAATCTATATTTAGCCTGAAGCTTCCTACCTGGTTCAGACCTGCAGGAAGGCTTGAATACAGAGATTGTCCGTGATTTTATACTGTATTCCTTGATTTATTAAAGATGCTGTTCCCCCTGCAGGTCTTATTACGCTGTCCAAAAGGTTGTGTTCAACTAACCGTAAACACAGATTTTGAAGCATTTTTGTATCTAGAATCTCACCCAGAATTATTCTTTTGTAAATATCCATGCGTAACCAGGCCCACCTGACATAAATAAAGATCAGCAATTAGCCATAAATAAACTCCAGAACTGGCTTTGTGTTGCATTTTCCACACTCTGCTTCAGAAATAAAATCAGGGCAAAATATAATGACATGCTTTCCAGACACTAACCAAGAGCTGACAAGAACTGATGGATTTTGCATGTTAAAAGTAAATATTTTATTACATATCATGCCCTTGAAAAATTAACTTTGTTTCCATTCGATTTTTGTTCAGCATGCCTTGAAATAGGAACGGCAGAAGCTCTTCAAGGAACAGATCACCGAGACTCACGGCACCGCAGTGACTGCAGTCACCTGGCTGAGGAAAACAAAGCAATTTTTGGTTTTTAAAGTCCTATATAAAATATTAAACGGTGAAATTAACAGATCCCATCTGCGTCTCTCCTTCACGTGTGACCGAATCTGCTGCACTGAAAAACCTGCACTGACAAATCTGTACTGAAATAATCTGCCTGGCACGGACCCACACCCAACACCCGCTGGTGTCGACAGTGACCATCAACCCTGTCAGTGCTCTGTCCACCTGTGCACACATCCTGCATGAACCACTGGACACATAAATCCAGGTTCACAAGGATGCTGTCAGTGGGTCAGCTCCAGTAAAACATTCCTGTTTCAGAGTAACAGTATTTATATTTTATATTTCTATGTGGCTCCCTCCCTCTTGCTCTAATTTGCCTTCTTAATCGCTCTGTTCGTGTTTGTTTTCCAAATGCTGGGAAGCCTTTGCTGGCTTGCTCAGGAACCTTGTCTGGGCAGTGTTTCCTCACATTTGCCATTTTCACAGCATGGGTGACAAACACGGAAGATTCAGGTTTTTAAATCCCGCAGGTGGCACCGACGCCACTCAACTCATCTGCAGGAGTACCAAGGGCATCCAGCAGCCCCTGGAACAGCCCAGCAGGGCACCTGCATGCACAGCATGGCAGGAAGGGAACCTCCCACTCACCCACTCAGGGCCTGGGGGGCCAACTGAGGCCTCTTGAAATCCCCCCCTCCAGCAGGACATTCAATGCCTCCAAAGAGTTAAATATGCAAGTGCTATTTTGTGATGCCTTCACAGCCAACAAATGGAAAAATGTGGCAATATAACGGAGCGTGTGGCTATTTTACCTATTCAACATTTACCTGTGTCTATCTAGAAGAGGTCTCTAAAATGCTGCTTTTCAGCAGCCTGAAGGTTGAGAACCACCTGTAAACATTTGCAGAACAGTCTCTCTCTAGAAACAGAGACTCCTAAACAATCAACCTCGAAATGTATCATAGAGTATATTATATTTCCAGTGTTATTTACAGATCTTCTTGTTTTAGTACAACGAACCAGACATGCTGAAAAGGTAGGATTTTTCCAGTCCTCTTTTATACGAAGTACAATAAAAAAGGCACATGATTATTCACCATAGGAGTTGTGCACCAGTCAAAAACTTAAAGCTAAAAAGCTACCCATCAGAGAACTCTCTTTATGAGGCAGTATTGGGATCTCTCCTTTGAACTCATCACAGAAAGGTCTGTCTCTTAATTCTTCGAGGAGAGCTTAAGGAATCCGCCCTCCTGTCGTGTTCTGATCTTCACAAGATTTCCCAAATCAACAGAAAACTCTTGTTAAGCTTCCCACGTCATCTACTGGAGCAAGGAAGAGTCAAACAGGGCGTGTGTGTGTCTGCTTTTTGTTCTCCTTCTTTCTTCCCTTTGAATGCCCGACTAAGGAGGACTCTTGGGAGCCGAGACCTGTCCAAACTAATCTGCTTTAAGACAAAATGCCTTGCAAGGTGTGGCACACTGAGGAATGGACACCAGCAGGAGGGGCAACCCAGCCCCAGCAGTCAGTGTCTGCCGTGTTTGATCCAGTTCCTGATCATCCATTTCTGCCCCGAGCACCTCTGGACAACCAATCTGAGCCCAAAATTGGCATCCTTGGACATTTCCACCTCTAGGCAACGGCCAGTGTCTCTGCTGATGATCGGACCATTCTGGAAAAAAGAAAAAAAAAAAAAAAAAAAAAAAAAAAAAAAAAAAAAAAAAAAAAAAAAAAAAAAAAAAAAAAAAAAAAAAAAAAAAAAAAAAAAAAAAAAAAAAAAAAAAAAAAAAAAAGGAACAAAAGAAAAGATCAAAGGATTAAAAGAAGGAAGAGGGAAGGGGAAAAGTCTGGAAGAGAAATAGTGCTAGATCTGCAAATCTGTAGAATGTAGAATGCCTGGAAATTTCCATACATATATCAAGTGATAAAAAGCCCTTAGAAAGTGCCAGAAATTCCTAGGAGAAGCTAGCTAATACATAAAAAGTACCCAAACAACTTGGGAATTCTAGATTGAGGAATTGCTAGAAAAATAGCCCCCAATCGCTAGAAAATCTCTAAAATACAGTAGGAAATCCCTACAGAGCTCAAGATACAGGAAATCCCAGAGCCTGTAATAATGCTTTTGAAAGTCCTAAAAATGATTTGAAAACTCCAGATCAAAAAATTCCCAGAAAGGTTCCAGAAAAAGTTCTAAACCAAAAAATTCCTAGACTCTAAAAAATAATTAAAAGACCCATACCAAAAAAAACCCACCAAACAATCAAACAAAAAACCAAACCAACCAAACAAAAAACAAACAAACAAACAAAAAACACCCTACAAGCATGATCTTGACAATCAATACAGACATTGAGAATATTCCAATACAGGATAACTAAAAATTCCTAGAAAGCATGCTCCAAAATTCCTCCTCCTAATAAAAAAATTCCTAGGAATAATAATAACAATAATAAATAATCATAATAGAATATTCCTAGGTAGCACACGAACTATGAAAAACATATCTAACTATTCCTAAAAGGCATATGGGGGAATTCCTAGTACAGTCCTCTAAAAGACCTCCTTGTTTTTCATTCAATACCCTCTAGAGCATAATTCTCCTCCAGTTCATCTCTGCAAGGCTCCCCGAGCTCTTCCGTACCTGTGTGAAATCCCAGAACCTCTGCGCTGGCCTCAGGACATCTTCACACTTCTTCAGAGTGGGTGTCCTGCCCTTGCCATCGTCAATCAGGCATTTGGAGTCGGGCAGGAAGGCGGTGGAGCCCAGTGGTCCCAGCTGCAGGACCCCCTCGGAGCTGTAGCGGACGAGCTGCGGGAGAAGGGGAAGTTGGGAGGTGGTGAGGAGTCCCCTGTCCCGCTGCACGTGGGGTCTGTCCCCACCTGGCACACGTGGCTCAGGGGGGGCAAGGCTCGGGAACTCTGTTTAACCAGCAGGGTCTCACCTAGAACACAACGTTCCCTCCCCTCACGCCTCTGGTTCCCCATCGCTCCCTCCCCGCTATTTCACCGCAAAAAAGGGCAATCAGCACAGCGAAGTAATCAATATGTAAATCATGCCCACTCAGCAGGAGCCGATCTAACAAGGACACCGTGTCAATTTGCAGTGCAGCGTGTTCCTAGGAGCTCTGTTAGAGGCTATTGATAGCAACAAGTCTAATTAGTTTTTGTAAATAAACGCCGCTGCAAAAAAAAAAAAAAAAATATCCCACCGTGCAACCAGGATCCAAAAATATGAGAGGGAAAAAGGAATCGTGAGGGGAATGGCAGCAAATTTGCCAACATATGCTTCAGGCCTACATAATAAAGAATGACAGTCTGATATTTCAGTTTACTGTGGAGCACGTTAAAGCAAGAATGCACGATGCTGATTTGGCAACAGGCCAATACGTCAAATCAGACTTATCTACTTCTCACTTCTGTGCTTAAATGCAGAGTCATTAAACCAGCACAATATTTTGCCCTTCTCACTCTAGAAGTGCAAGCACCCAGGTGCCAGAAGACTGCAAAGTGGACTCAGCTACGTGGCCTGTGTGCTGTGAGTCTGGATGCTGCAGGGTGAAGATCTGAGGCACCACAGAAATGCAATTACCACCCAGGAAATTCACTGCCTGTCTGATCTCATTGCTGTTATATGGCTGAAATTACTTAACAAGAAAGGGAAGGAAGGTCAGCAGTGCCTGCCATTTATTGGATGCCACTGACCACTGTGTGAGATATCATTAAGAGTCAATCAAAAAAACTCAAATTAGAGCCCAGCTTTCTACCACCATCCTTATTAACCTCAGAAGAATCATGCTGTGAATAATCACTTCTTGCTGGTGCTAAAAAGAGCACGGTCTACTTGGTCCCAGACCAGATGCTCTTTGACATAGTGCGTGTTCATTTTCCCACCTGCCACTTCTGTTCAGAGCAGCCACGTGAAGCAGCCAGTTAGAACTGAGCCCACATCAGAGAAAGCAAAAAGGATAACCACGTGAGGATGCTCAGTGTGAACACTGCCTGTACACACTAAATCAAGACACTTTGGGAGTTTTATTTCACTGTAAAGTTAGGAGGGACATAGGTAAAAGAAGCTCAAGCAAGCAAAGTAATTAAAAATATGAGGGGACTGTCAGGTCACACAAATGAACTTTCTTTTTTTTTCATGTATAAAGGAGCTGGGGGAAAAAAAAACAAAACAGCAACAAAACTTCCTTTTTTTTCCAATGAACTGCAGGTGTGGCTGAAACACTGACCACAAAATGTCTTCATCTTGCAGTCTTTACTGTCTTTCTCCAGTGCCACCCCCAGCAACCTTTTTGGCTTTGCCTTATCCAGATAATGAGAACCACTGTTTATAACTGGCTACAGGTTCTGCAGCACAGGAACAGTTTTCCCCTGTGATTTAAGATAAGCAGCATTTTCTGCACTGGTACTAAAACAGTCTAAAATATTCCCTGCCTTTGGAACCTCAACAGCCAGAATTGCACGAGCTTTGCCTCACCGTAGCCACGTGCTTGGGAGAGACTTTGTCATCCAGCAGAAACACCAGTTTTGCTTAGGCTTTAGAAGTGGAAGGTCCATTATTATAAACTATCTCCAGTAGTCAAAGTGGCAGCTGTGTTACAGCTCGACAGGGTCAGAGACGGCTCAGAGCAGGAAGCTGCTGTCTGTACAATGACCAGACAAATGGAACAGCATGGGCTTAATTTTCCTGAATCTGTACTTTCTGTCAAGTTTTTATGGCCACTCCAGCAGTCATAAAAAATCGGGCTTATCCTGCAATAAAACAGAACTCTAAAAAAAACCACCCCCAAACTATTATCTCAGTTTAGACCATATTACATAGTAAAGCTTTAGTGCCTGCTTCTGCAAAATCAGAGCAGAAATTCAGGTTTAAGAAACTTGTATATGATTAGTAGCATCCCCCTCCAAAGACTTCATATCTTAACTTCCTAGAGACAACACAAACTGTGAAAATAAAAAAAGCATTAAAATTAGTTGCTTTTTGCTGTAGATTGGAAAGCAGGAACTGGGATTCAGTCAATGAAGTGCTGAAAATTACACCTGCTATGTTCAAACTTGATCTTAAGTGCCACTATCATATCCACAGAGAAACAACCTCTGAATTTGTGTCAGAACTGTGGACATGATACATCACACTAAGCAGCCAAAATCAAATGACAAAATCCCCTTTGTTAAGGAATATTAAATCCTAGACATTAAAAAAAAGCGGGTTCTGATGGGCTGAGGTCTGTAGGTATCCACACACTCCCACTGCAAGCTGCAGAACAGAAACAGAGTTTTATGCATCACATGGGGATGGACCTTTGCTCAGTTTTTCTCTGTTATCTGAGAAGAGCTGAAGGAGCCACATAAATGACACTGAAGCCAAGTGCTCTATTACACACTCAAGATCTAATCCTGATACCATCTGCTGTGCTGATGAGGAGATAGGAGAGTTTTCCCTTCAACATTCAGAAAAATCTGAGCAGAATGCAGAAGATGTCAAAGGTTGTTTATCAAGCCACCATAGCTGGTTCAAAAACAGTGAGTGCTGCTGCCTATGGAACGTGATCCTTCAGGAACATCAACGGGGTAAATAAATGGCAGCTTTTAACTGAAGGATTTGACTTACAAAAAATCCATTCCCGCTAATTCACAGTCAAGTGAAAAAAGCACAGAATGATTACAGATAAGTGTTTGTAGGAAACAGTTACATGGATGGGCCTGGTAGCGTTCAACACTAAAATTAACCTCTCCCTCCCAACTCTTGCTCTCCAGTCAAAAGGAAATCTTTAATGATCCTTCAGTCCTGCAGGTTAAGGCAGGCTGAAAGCTGACACAGAAAGTGAAACAGCGAGCTCCACAGGAATCCCAAACACCCTGTGTCTCCAGAATACTTGTCACCACAAGGCACACAACTCACGAGTTACCAAATTTTCCATGTTTGTTCCAGAATCTCACCCACTGCTGCCTGCAAGTGAAGGCACTACCTGTTCATGCTGCCCTGGCATGCAAATCTGGGAAGTCCTACAGCTCTACCAATCAAAACGTTAAATATCTGCCTTCCAGCAACAGTTTAAGTCGAGCCTTTCATCTCCTCTTATTCCATCTGTTTGCATGGCTGTGAGCTCCAGGAATCCAAATATCGAGCAAACATATTCCTTTCTCACTAATCTTCTGGACTGTTTCTCCCAGCTGCATTTGCCAACAGTTTTTCTCCTGAAAGTGATTAGACTCAAACTTCAGATCCAATGAACACATACGAAAAGGACACCAGTCTTCTGCAAAAAGAGTTTTCGAATCAGCCTGGACTGATGCAAAACCTCGCCCGGATATTCTTGTCTGTTGGCTTACAGTGACTCAACACAAGTCAAATTCATCAAACTAAATTGATGTAAACTCAGGCTAAATGCATTCCAGAGCATCCACAAAAGAGTCTGTCCCCGTCTGAATAAAGAAATTTAAAAGCTGATGTCACCGACAAGATGTGATTTATCACGGTGAAAACTGATCTTGGAATACCCACAGGGCAAAACACCTTGTTGGTGGAGCAGACCCAGTGGAGCGGTTTTATTTTGCCATTGCAATGCAGGACACCACCACTCAGAGGTGTGCAATACCCAAGGGAAACAGCAGGGTAAGAAGCAGAAGAAAAGAACATTTTATCACAGACAAACAGTAATCCTCCTCCTAACCCAGCTTTCTTTAAACACTCGCCTGACTGGTGTTGGTTTCAGTGGAACCACGTGTACACTAAACCCACCAGTAATCTGCTTGTCAGAACTGAAGAGCATGAAAGGCAAACAAGGCTGGAGCTGCAGAGGGGGATTCTTTCACCTCAGTGGGACACATGAAGCACGAGGGATAACTCAGCGGGGAAAACGAGTTCCATATTTATATTCATTTATAGTCGGTAGGCGTGTACAAATAACCCAAATCCCGACTCAGAGGGGTATTTTATACCCTGTGCTTGAGATGAGAAATGTCAGAAACGGAAAGCTAAATGCAGCAGACAACTATGCTCACCCAGGCTGATCAGAAGAGGGGCTCTAAAAATGTTTATTTAATATATTAAAACACTTGCTGTCAACACCTTTCATGCAATGTGCTTGGATATCCTTGATTAGGGTTTGTGCAGCTGTGGTTCTCACACCGAATTAATTTTGTAAATTGTGGTGAGATGATAGAAGTTTTCCAGCTGTGTAATCATTAATTAACTTGGCTGCATTTGAGTGGCTCCAACCCATGCTTGTCTGTGAAATACTCAACTTAGATAAAACATCACCTTTGCCTTTGCTTGGTGATTCTTGCAGAATGAAAACTTTTTTCCTGTTTTTTTTTGTGGTTTTGTTTTTTTTTTTTAAATGTTCATCTGTTTGTTTTAAAGGGAAATGGAAACTGCTGCAGGATGATTTGGCAGATTAACTTTTTGCCTTCCCCATAGTTTGATAGTTCTTAGACACAGGGGATGCTTTGGATTTTAAGGGTTTGGGACGAGGGACTTTCTCTTTTTGTGTGTTTATACAGTGCTAGTAACAAAAGGGCTCTAGCCTGTGGCTTCATTGAAAAGCCTAAAATCAGCTTTTCAGGCTTTTCCAGAAAATTTCAGGGAACTGAAGACCTGTAGCAGAAGCAAGCCAGGAGTGATTTAACTGCCACCATCCAACTTCAAATTCCTGGGCAGTAAATGCTTTGTGTGTCGTTGTCTGCACCTGAGAAGATCTGCCTTATGGCTGGTCTAAAATCTAAAATCCAAAAGGCATAATCTACTGGGCAATGTATTAATCTCCCACTAAAAGTAAAATTACCTGATCCTTAATGGATAAAATTGGTCAGAGCTGAGAGGTGAGCTCCTTTATATCCCAAAATTACCAAGAGTTAGTCAGGAGAAGGTGGGCATATCATACTTCCTTTCAAATAAATTCACAGGAACTTATGCCCTCACCTATTTTCTTCTAGAAGTCAAAGCATATTCTATGAAACAGAAGTCATGGAGGCAAACAAGTAGGTTAAGCACTTAAATTGCAAAATACATTACAATCAGAACCATTTACTTCATTACTCTTCCAAGTGGTAGCACACTGACAGAGATTAGATGTTGCTAAGGGACCTTCTGGAAGGACTCAAATTTGCAACTTTCTGGTCAGAATTGGAATGGAGCAAGAGAGTAAAGTCTCTCTGAGTGCCTTGACATCTCTAACAAGAGTCTTCTTGAAAAGGTAATTTACATCTAATTAAGGAATGCTATTTTGTTACCTCATTCAAAGGCTGCTCCTTCCACCTCTACTAGGAAAGTCAGTCAAATATTCCATAATGATGCTGCCAAAGGTGGACATTTTGTCAGCAGGAATTACTGTCTGCCTCGCTTTGCTTCCATGGTGATGCACGAGCTGGGACTCCAAATCAATGTATGTATGACTGAGCTTTGGATAATTGTTAAGTCTGATAAGGTCAGAGTTTATTTACACAGGAGAATGTTCATTAACATAGTTTTGATTCAGACCGTACTTCAAAAGAAACCAGAATTACAATTCAGAAGAGGCTCAAGTCCTGGATTTAAATAATATCCAATTTTGATTTAAAAAAAAAACAGGTGAAATCACTGTGAGTGTGGAAAGAAGAAATGTCATTTGAAAATCTTCAGACATCTGTAAGAAAATAATAATATGCACAGGGACTGACAAAAAAAAAAAAGAAATCTCATATTTTAGAAAAGTCTTAACTTAGGGGATATTCTTAACTCCCTTTGAAGTTGATGTTAAATATGTGCTTAACTTTTGGCCTGCTTGGGGAATCGCATCAGCAGCTTGCTAAATAATTCCTGTCTAGGAGCCTGTTGGACCAAGGAACAGTTGATTTAGAGAGGAACCACTCCCAGAGTCAGTCCTGTCACAGCAAGGAGAGCTGCTCACTCACACAAACCACCTACATTAATTCATCTTCAGTGGGTCCTTCTTATTTAAACAAATTAACATGGTTCTTCTGTTTTCCTAACTGGCATCTTCAATGTATAGATTCACATGCTGAACAACCTTGGCGAGGGCACCCAAAAACACTGGAGTAAAGCCAGATATTTGCCTTGGCAACTCAGGAATACACTGCCAAACTCAACTCAAATGCACCTTTTGTTTCTTCTGAAGATTCTTTAAGTTAAAGGTTCCTCACTAATGATGGGATTTGAACCATTTACCTGAGAGGACATCCCATGGCATGGATACAGGATTGCTTTGTCATCCTCCTCGGCTCCCTGGTCCAAGCAGTAGCCACTGGCTTTGCTGTTCCGCACCTGTAACCAGACCAGAACAAACCCAGTTAGGTCAGATTGGTTAGAAATTAATCTCCAAGGCCCAGGTCCAAGCCAGCTGAATCTCAGCTCTGCCACAGCTATTGACACGAGCAGTATGTAAAACTGTTCCTCTGAGAAAAACATGCTTATTCTTCAGATATCACAAGATGCCAACAGTGAATTTGCTCCAGGAAAAGACATTATTTGGGCAACCTGCTGTCTTCACAGACCTTGGGTCAGAGTTATATTTTCAGCAATTACTCGTGGATCAAAACTCCACAAAATTCACTCTGACCCAGGCCAGATTTTGCTCCAAATTACTCTTTGTGTAAACATACATTTTGACCCTGTTGTGTTGAGTACGTGACCTAATGAAGAGCACAGGAACTACTCAGCTTTTGTTTCTTCCCATTGCTCATATAAAGCCAAAAAAGCATGTGAAAAAAAATTTATTTGAACTGAGAATATAGTACATTGTTATGTAGAGAAGTGACATAAAGCACACTTCATCAAAGGGTACAGGTTCAGAGATCCAGCGAAGTAAAAAAATCCCTGTGCCTCCCCAGAAAAGGAGAATTTACAACTCTATAAAAACTGAGATGGAGCTCTTGTGAAAACCCAGGCCCTTCTCTTAAGACTAGAAGTATTACACAGGTATTTTGGACATAGAAAAATTTTACAGGTATCATAAACAAGAAGCTATTTAGACAGACACTTCGAAAGAGTCAACAGGTCATTTTAGGTTTAGACTGTGAAGCGTCTGCCTGGCCACCACCATGATACAGAAACAGCTGCTGCACAAGGTGTCAGAAAAAATCTGTAAATAATCCTTCATATCACAGTGTACAAGCAGAACAGGGAATCCAATTGGATAAGGGGGATCACCAACAACTAAATTTCAGGAGGTTTATTTTACGACTCAAGTACTATAAAGGCTAAAGAAGATGAAGACAGCTTTATGACATGGCTTTAAAAATGTGAACTGAGTCACCAGGAAATATATTTTTACTACTGTTTCAATCTGTTTCACATCTACTCAATACATTTATTTTCCTTTAAACTCACTAAAATCCAGACATCTTTTCCTCCAGGAAAATAACCAGAGGAGAAAGTATTTAATAACAAGCTTAATGCCATTTAGGATGAAGCTTAAAGTTTTTTCATTATGGGCATGTAAGACTGGAAGGGACCTCTGCCAGTTTACACCAGCTCAATGGCTTGTGTGGCTCCATCTTATTAAAAATGTTAATGAATTAGGTACCTGCATCACTGAGCTCCCTGTTTGACTCAAGAACCTTCTCTGCAGCCGCTCAGGAGAAACAAACTTCATTTTAGAGCCCAGCTTGCTCAGTGTCTGCTATAATTGACACAACATTGGCAGTTCTTCCAATGCTCTTCGCAGTTAACAGCTTTCTCAGAGCTGACAGATACCAACAGCTCCTGTTGAATTTATTAAATGTCTTTTCTCAGTTACTGATGGGGATAGTTATATCGGGATGCAAAGTGGTATTATGCAATAAAAGTTGCACTTTGTATCAGTAGCTCAAGTGCCTGGCATATTTTTACATAAAAAGTCACTCAAATGGAATGGGAAGGAACAATGTCCACTTGGCTGTCTTGTGGGAAAATATATTGCCTGTGGATTTAATTGGAGTTCAAGTAGACAATTAAATGGAAATTTTAAAAACATTATGCAGCAGGAGAGCTCCTAGAACTTCACCCCAGTTCACCACCATAAATGCCAGCAGTCCTGCTATTACAGGCACATGATGCAGATTTGAAGAGTCACAGCAGGCACGTCTGACCTCTTTAAAGACTGGGGGTAAGCAAATATGGGAGATTGGACTGGTTCACAGAAGAGAAAGAAAAGACCCAGAGAGCTGAGATGAACTGAAATGTCCAATTTCTAACATGTTTGGATCCAGCAGTTCATTAGGGTAGAGTAACCTCCCCTTTCAGCTGCCTTGGAGTTGGTGTTCCAAGGTATTTCCCAGTACTGGTGGAAATGAAAGTACAGAAAAAAACAGAATCTGACCAGGAGGCAGCAAAATTGGTTTTCCTCTAATGACTTTTTTTTTGATGAGGAGATACAGACTTGCCAAATGGTATCCTCACCTTACAGTCCGAACAAGGATATCGTTTCTTTCTATCCTGAACAGGATAAAAGCAGAATTGCAAAAATGGATTAATAAAATCAATGTATTCTTTCAAGTAGTTCAGCAAAACTCAAAGAAGGGGTTGTTCTTTTCCTAAAAACAAAACAGTTGAGCAAACTCATCTGTTCTCATTAACTGTAATTATTTTAGTTCTCCTGACTGCTGATGTTTTTTTGATGATGTCTGTGGCAGCCTATCTGGGAAGATGATTACCTCAAATTTATGTCCTCAGAGCTGCTCTATTTTCAAATGAAAGCCAAGGAGGCTGCATATCTTTGTTAGTGATTTCACCTGATGTGCTCCAGTGAGAGGGACAGGGCTCCTCAAAGCCACACTTGCTAGTGTTGATTAAAAGTAGGGCAGGGCATTTTTGTGGCTACAACTCGTGCTGACTGTGCTCTGTACATCCTGATACCACTAAAATGCAAGGACTGCTCAAGTGCAGCCATGAGGTATTTTCAAAAGACATACAGTACCTCTCCATAAGTGACTGTGTTATTATAAACCCTCATTTCAGGGTACACGTTCTCCAAGTACCACTTAAAGCTCCGGCACTGCAGTCGCTGTCGCAGAGCAATCCTTTCAGAAACGTCTCCAAAGTCAACTCCAGGGTTCTGCAAAGCAGAAAATGAACAAAGAGATCTCACTGCACTGACTTTATGGTTGCCTTCTTCACTGAAACCAAAACTGGAGTTCATTTGGTACACCGAGCTGTATTTCCCTCTCTTCCTTCTCTTTTGTGAGCAGCAGCTCATCAAACAGCTGCCGTTGAGGGTAGACAATAAATATTAATGAAAGCCAGTAGAAAAAGAAGGATAAAGAATAAGCAAAAAAAACCAAACACAAAGCAAAACAACAAGGATACAACAAGAATGTTTTCACCTACAGCAATTCTGAATGTTTGCAACCAATCCTGAAACCTCTGCTTTTCAGATATGTTTGGAATTTGGGAGAAACTCTGATCTAAATATGGCAGCTTGGTCATGGTTCGCTCCAGTAAGAGCTTTGGGTATTCCCTAATGTAAATGACATCAGAACAGACCTGTTAAAACTTCAAAGTAAAGCTGCTCAAAAAGTCATTAAGTTCCACTAAACATTCGTACAAATCAGCATTCAGTTTTTACTGGAACTGGGAGCTCATTTGCAGACTTGAGCCATAAAACGCAGTTAAACTCAAACCCTCCTTTATTATTCTGCTTCAGAATTTAATGCATGTTTAAATACAACCCCATGAAAAGCAGAGGTTGGAAGACTCAAGCCAGTATGACCAAACTCAGCCGTTTAAAAACGGCAGGTGCTGACTTGGAGTCTGCTGATTTAAAGTGTTATAAATCATCGCAGTTCAACAGTAAGACAGGAAGGGTTACCTCATCTAAAAATCTTTTCCGACACTATATTAATCAAATGGACTGAAACTGGGGGAGTTTTGCATGGAATCTGCCTGAAGTGCCTCGCCCTTTCCCCTCCAGAAGGGTTTCTGTGCATTCTGCAGATCAGATCCTACGCAGGGTTACGAGACAGCAGCAAATCTTAGCTCAGCGTTCATTAAAATCCCCCAACAGATGCCTGGTTTCCAGGAGAGAATACAAGTGTAACACTGAACAGGTTTTTTTCTATTTGCCACATAAAAAGTTCGCTGTGCTCGCTGCTGCTTGCTGATGCGCACCCTGTCACGAGCTCCCAGCGCAGCATCCGTTCAAATGAATGTTAATTCACGTGCTACTCCAGGCTACGTGGAAGGAGAGCAATCCTCCGAGGCACTCGGGGCGATAAATCATGCCAGGTGAGGTTCCTTTATCAGTAAAATGGTCGAGGGATAGATCACAAGCAGGGGGATAGGAATATGCAGTTAATCAAAACAGAGCTATCCTGACCTGCTGCTGAAGGTTAAAGGAACCTGACCTTGCAGATGTGGCCGAGCCCATCTGCTGACCTAGGCACACATTATGCACAGATTCTCCACAACTGGTAAGGGAGTGACTTGTGACCTGGATGGTGGGAGTTATAAAAGAGTCAATTTAGCTCGGTTTTGGGGTATGGGAAAAGCACATTGCTTTACTTGCCTCCTTTCTGCCCTATTCTTACACGAGGCCATAAAATGCCCTTTTTTTCCAGTTCTGTTTTCACAGAGCACGAGGGCAGCAAATTGAGCAGCTGTGAAAAAGCTCTGCTTGCCCTCTGGGCCAGCTGCAGTCATGGGCAGGGTACAGAGGGATGGCACAAGAACGAGGTGTCTACAGAATTTAGTAAGTGGAGACATTCTTTCCAACCAGCTAGCAAGGTTTCCAGTTCTGCAGAAGGTTTTTGCAATGGCTTATCCCAGCCCAGGATTTCTGAGCCATCTGGATTGGATACTACAGTGGAATAACTAACAGCAGCTTCCTTCTCCTGAGAGCTAATAGGGTTATTTTTATGATGCTCATTTTATCAATCAATCAATTTGTTTTATGGAAAGAAAATTTTAATGTTCAGTACCGCTCCTGATTTTATGTCTTTTATTGTAGATGTGCCTGGGTTTTTTTTTTAAAGCTCTGCTGTATGGCTCAGTGCATAAAACTACATCAATAAGTAATCTCAGGGAGATTAAAGGAATCATATTTTGGTGTAAATGCTTATTTAAATATCGTTTCTCAGAAGTCATTTGCAGCTGTCATCAAGCAAGCAAATTTACTGAGGTTACTTTTCCATCTCCTATTTGAAATCTAACCAATTCAGCAAGTGGATGCAGACAGAGCCAAGATGCCCCTAAAAACTTAAGATGGACAGTTTTGTCTTCCTCCTACTGTCACAGAAATCTTGTGTGGGAAGAGTTATGCAGTATTGCCTTTTGTTAAGGCAAAATAATTCTCTGCAATTACCTCTCATGCCAAAAAGAAGTCACCAAAAACACCTCTCAGAGACCTTGCACAGTGCCCAGTATCGAGCAGCAGTAAATGAAATTCAGATGTGTGAGAACATCTGACATATTCACACACCACAGGGAGAAAAGGAAACACTGAAGGCTTAGATAGACATTTTAAAAATATATGTTCTGACAGGAACATTCCTGTTTCCATTGGCTCCAATCAGATGTGGACAAAGCCCTGATATAAGGGTTAATTACACAATCATTATCTACACACCAGGGTATGCTTCCCCTCAGCTCCCCCTTCCTGTGAATCATCTGGATGCAAATACCACTAAGGAATCCAGCAACAGTCGGCTCCCACCTGCCTGGGACAGAACACACAGCCCTTCTCTGCAAGAACCACGCTCAGTGGAGATGCAGCACGTGATACACTCACAGAATAAAGTGATAAAGTGAGCCTACAGTTTATCCAATATTTATATTACATGGATTCCTAGAGAGCCCCACATGGCATCTACAATTCATGTGTGCAGCGAGAAACAGAACGTGTTCAACATGGCACCCCTCAGACTGTGGGCAGTAAAGCCAGTTAATATGTGATTCTTTTATTGCATACTTTGTGTTTTATGCTGGTGAGGTCTACTGAGTGCGGGGATGAATGATGGTGTTTATTTATGGACATTTCTGCAGTCCCCACCACCGGAGCACGTGAACGCCTCGGAGTTTAACGGCACCCCAAATTAACGACTTCTGAGGGAGCACATAACCCTGGAACAGTTTGCTGCAGCTGAATTATAAACCTGTGTCACTGAGCACACAACAACCTGCGCTCAGCACACAACCAGACCGAGGAGGTGAGTTTATACAGCACAACTCTCCGTCCTGAGCACGCACCGAGAGCGCTCCTTCCCTATGCAACGCCCTCCACCTCCAAAAGCTAACGAGGAACAGCCCTCCACGCTGCTGCCTCTGCTCAGGAGGCAGCGTGTGACCTGGACTCACCGCCATGGGGATGTTCCAGGCCATGTAAACGTGGGATTTGAAGTCATCCATCCAGACCTCGGCGGCGCGCAGGGCGTTGCGCTTTGCATAGTAGTCGATGTCGTTGTTGTAGGGCTTCTTCGTGCGCTCGATGTGCGCCACCCGGGAGCAGGGCAGCACCTCCATGCTCCCTCCACACTGCCACACCTGCCACGGGGACAGAGAACAACCACAGGATTATTTTTTTTTTTTCCCCCCACCACCTTTTGAGGCAACAGAACCGCCCCTTCTCAGGTGCTGCTTTGAGAGAGCAACCCTTCTCTCTCTGCACGTTGCCTACAGAAGAGTCCAAGGTGAATGCAGATGGCTGCACTGGGTATGTAAGTTTAGAAGCCATAAATCACCAAGTCCCTTCCTCAGTATCCCTGCTCTTGGAATCATCAGGCAGAGGATAAGTTATAAGGTGGTGACCTCTACCACAGGGACTATTTTAACCCAGTGCTTGTCACTGAAACGTCAACAAAAATCAGCTGTGTCCTCTGTCTGTGCCTGGCACAGGAATGGTGTGCTGGGAAGGGCTCTAAGGTCTCCCTGGAGCCTTCTCTTCCCCAGACTGAACATCCCCAGCTGCCTCAGCTTGTCCCCACAGGAGAGCTCTCTCATCATCTTATCTCTCTGCCCTGAGTTGATGAAGATAGATAAAAGGGGCAGTACAGGAGACTGTATCACCCAGCCTTCCCAGACACCACTGCACCCACACTGGGCAATTTTTTTCCCTGGTGATTATTTACTGTCTGAAGTGAGGAATAACGAGCACTTGTCTCTTTGCATCAGTGAGATCTGGAGTGATGCAGGGTGAGTGAAGCTTATGCACACTTCATTTCCCTCAGGTCTGCACCCAGTAGTGTAGTCTAGCTGAAATAAATAAAAGGTATTAAAATATAAGCAATAATTCATTGCTTTCCAAGGTTGCCTTTTACTGCGAATAAAAGCACATTTCAATACAAGATGCACTCCAGAACTATACTGGGGCAGTTCTCCACCTCACCTGCCTTCTCAAGGACAAAGATAAACTGCTTGGGAAGATAAAATCTCCTCTAGTTTGGCTTTCTTTTTTCCTTTTTTTTTTTTTTTTATACTTTGTTAGGTAATATTTACTTGCTGCTTTCCAAACAGTTCTGTAGTAAATCACCAGCCACTGGAATTTACATTTGACAAATGGAGTACACTGAAAAAACACACTGCTCATAAATTTGGACTGACATATGCTGAGGGTTTCCAGTGCAAAGGGGAAGGGCTACAAAAAAACCAAAGGAGTTAATTGATTTTCACGATCAGAAGGGGAAATGAGCACCACACTTTAGTATACTGCTATTTGCCCAACCCAGCCTGCAAGTCAGTTATTTAATGCACAGCACATTTTTCTTTCTCTTGATATGGCTAATGACCTTGTAACTCTTATTTATATATTCTGGTACCAAGGGCAAATATATTATCTGAGTGACAGATTTATTTCCTTCAAATGGCAGCGCTCGTACAAACCTGAAAAGGAAAAGCTACTAAACTGCAACATTAGAGAAAACAGTTTAGCTCATCTGTAAATTCAATGCAAACGGTTATTCATCAGTGATAAATTCTCCAGAGAGGAAACCCACAGGGAAAGCAGACACCTGGCTTTGAAGAAAACACAACAAAAAAGGCAGCTCACCCTGCCAGGAGGTTGGTGCTCAGCACTCAGCATGGACCTGTGCTGTCACCTCCTTCCCCTACCCCTCAGCCCCACTTTGCTCTTTAAAGTTAGGCAAGAGCTGCTGAAGAGGGGGAAGGAAATAGCCAGGAAATAGTCAAGGAAATTTTTCTTCCTTAGAAGAAATTTTCAAGATCCCAGGAGTTAAGAGCCACCACGTGAGACTGAGATAAATGCTCAGGGCTTGTGTCTGAATGAGGAGGATGGGAGGTTCAGCAGCACCTTCTCCGCGCTGGACACAGAACTGAAAGACATTCATGATGCAGAAAACCACTGCCTGTGTGCTCCTGAAATTGGTTGATTCCCCTCCTCTTTTCATCCTCAAAACTGCATTTAATGACCAGCTTTAACAGCAGCAGACAACGTATCTCTTTCCACATCAAACCATGAAATTATGCCAGGAAATAATTACATGCCTTTATAAAGCATTTATCAGGCAGAATCCTTAAAGTGCCTTGCTGGGGGAAGCAAACTATCTCTAACTGTGAGCATAAAGGGATGCCCAAGGCCCTTCAAATCCACACATTTCAGGCAATCAGAGAAAACTGACTTCCAGATCTACGACTTCTGGGACAACAACACATTTCCAACCCAAGCTATCCCTCTCCTATGGAGTTGCCAACACCAAATGTGTGTTTCAGGGCTCGTTTACCTGAGGAGCTGGAAGTGCTACAGTCCCTCTGAGCTGCTCCCCACAAGGGTGCACAGCACTGAAAAGCTCACTCCGCCTTCTCTGCTCCCATGGAGAGGCAAACCCCTTGCAGTTCGTGGTTTCTGTGGGGCTTCCCAGCACAGTTTGTGCTCGCTGACTCGGGGCAGCCTCCCTGAGCATCAGCACACTGCAATATTTTAAGACATGATCAAGTAATTCCAAGAGACACTCCATTTATTTGCTAATTGTAGCTAATTTCTAATTTCAGCATTGCTCTTTAGGCTGCTATAAACAAAATTGATAGCAATTTAAATGTTACCACAGCCGTGTTACCTTAGCATTTTTACTGCTAATTATCTCAATCAACTTTTCTATAAACAGACATATTAAGTATTGAGAAGAACAAGTACCCACATCAGGAGTAAATTACAAACTGAATGATAATGTTTGTGGTTTGCACCACAATGATTTACTGACACTAATTATTAGCTATTTCTGTTCACCTGAGATATGCCTGTCCTACAGGAAAGTGTTTATTTATTCAGCAGTCAACCAGACATCATATCCTGCAAAAATCTGAGATGAGGACTTGTCTTTTCTACCATGACCTAAACTGTGCGTGAGCAAACCTCTCTGGATGCAGGTTGGGTGCACTATTTAGAAAGGCTAATAAAGTGCCACGATTGAACACTCAACAAACAAGAGCAAACTCTCCGAGGACATAAACTTTCCCACGAGTACTTTCTGCTGAAGGTCAAAAATACCACCTTTAATGGGATTTAAAAAAAAAAAATAAATGAAAACGAGTTTTAAACAAGCCAGGTCACCACTGAGCAGGATGTAGAGCTGGCTGGACTGCTGGGCTAATCAATTCCCAAGTCTTGGCAATATATATACAGAGAGAGAACATTGCTGACGTGGTCCCCAGCTCTGCAGGTCACACCTGTTTCCAACAGCATCGTGCCCTGCAGAGGGAATTTCAGAGCTCAGAAACATCCTGGGATTTCATCTTCAGGTGAGCCCTTTGCACAAGGGCAGCTGCAGCTCCCAAGAGGCTCTCACTGATTACAGGGAGGGCTCTTCCCTCTCAGTGGACTTCTGGCCCTGTAAATTGGGTACCACGTTATTTTATCCACTGCAGTGACTGCACAGGGTTACTTAGTTTGGTGCAGATGATCTCAGTAAAAGCAGAATCAGAAGGTAAAAATAAAAACGGCATCAGAATGAAGGCAAAGCTGAGGAGACAGTTTTAACTTTGAAAACTTAGACTGGAAGATCATGAGCCTTAAGAACTTTGTCCCTTGCTGTGAATTTTGCAGTTTAAACACCTCAGTGCTCAGTGAGAGAGAAAAAGAAAAGTCTCAGACTCTGTCACAACTATTTTTTCCTTCAAGTACACCTTTGATTTAAGCAGCTGGAGAAATGAGGTATCCAAGAATGTGTAATAGTAGGAAAGACACTTCAGTGTGGGGTGGATTTGCTTCCAAAGAAACACCCTTTGCTAACAACTTCACATGGACACACCAGTTCTGTCCATTGCTCTGAGCGCTGCAAGTTTATAGATACCACAGCAACTCCAGTGGAGATCCAGCTGTTCTAATACTACAGAAAAATCCCTCCATTAATTACATTTTCAATAACCTGAGGCTCTGAGCCCAGTTTTCATAGCTGGCAAGCGCTCTGTACAACCTGCAAGGGCGTTGTAGCATTTTGTGCTTCATCTTTTTCCAGGGACTTGAGGACATTTCAGTGGTTCTTTGCTGAAAGGAATAACCACAGCCTGCATCTGCCAGCAGTAAGAAGATGGAAAAGACCAGCTTCAAAACACCCCTGTGGCAGCAGGACCCCTCATTTCTGGTACCCCCAGCTGCGTGTGTCACCTGGCACTCCTGCGGTGGCAGCTGTTCAGCACATCCTGAAACAAAATCCGTGTGCCAGAGCTGGACTCTGATGTTTTATGAAGCAGTGCTGAACTCCACCTGAGCAGCATTTCACAGGAGTAGCCCTTCAGATTTCAAACTTTCTCTTCTGAGTGAAGGCAACAGAAGAGATGGAGGAGTTTTTGAAGCAGCTCAGACATCCCTCGTTTATGATAGCCCGGTGTGAGAATTCTTAAAAGTCAGGGATCTCAAGTTTTCTTCAGTTTTCAAGGCAAAGCCTACCAGAGATGGGTGCCTTCTAGACTACCCACACACACCCACGGCAGGACTGGAAAAGATTTTTCTATTATGAAAGAATTTCCACATGTTTCAGAAATTTTGCTGACCTAAATTTTCAAGAAGAACAACAATTTCAAAGGTTTTCACTAGCTGAAACACGTGGTCTTTATCACCTTTATCTGTGTTCCCCTCAAATGCTTTCCCAAAATGGAGTTGCTGATGAGTTTCAGAAGATCAGCTTGATGTCAAGAGCTTTAATTTATTTCAAGCTGAAAGGACAGATTCAACTGAAAACCCAAAGCTTTGTTGTAAAAACAGAACGACACAACCTTCTGACGAGATTAAAACCAGGTATTCGTTCTCACTTAGAAATTTTGCTGAAGCACAGCCTGTTCAACACAAGTATTTTTGTTTGAATTTGTCAGCTGGCAAAGCCTCAAAAACCTGCCCATCAAACTTTTAAGGGGTCCAGTGGGCTCCCAGGCCCTCTCAGAGTGCATGTGGCCTGGAGATAAAAATGCCTTAAATCACTGTGACAGACCATTCAGATGATGGGATCTGACACGGGGATTAAATTGTGGCTCCTCAAGGTGAAAGAAGTCCAAGTGATTTCTGACAAAAGCTGCAGTACCTGAGGGGCAGGAGCAC